TGACTTTTCCTAATTTCGAACCAGACTTTTTCTCTTCTCCTTCCTCTTTCTTCCTTCTTCTTTTCTCTCTTCCTTCTTGCTGTTTACTTTACCTTTCAGCTAACAAACAAAACAGACTTCTAGGGTAGACCGAACTTTAACAGTAACCATTCTGGTGCATCAGACCGATGGGTTTCTTGCTCCCATCTCTGGAAAAGGGAATATTAGAGCCTCTGACTCCTTTGTTTTGTCCGTTGTCCTTCATGTTCCCAAACTTAACACAAACCTTTTATTTGTTAGTAGCTTGATTAAATCAATGAATTGTAGTGTAACCTTCTTTCCTACTCATTGTGTTTTTTAGGACCTAAAAACTCAAAGAACGATTGAGAGTGGCCATGAGGTGAATGGAATATATTTGTTGGATACCACTTATTGAAGCTTTGGACCACCTAGTGGAGTTGCTTTGGAGTCTATTTCAGAGTCAGTTGATAGAGTCATATTATGTCATTTAAGATTTGGTCATTTGTCTTTTTCTGCATTGAGTTATTTGTTTCCAGAAATGTTTAAGGGAATGTCTCTATCGAGTCTTCATTGTGAGCTATGTGAACTTGCAAAACATTGTAGACTATTTTTTCAGTGAGTAAAAGAAGATCATTTTCTCCTTTCCATATTGTGCACTCTAATGTGTGGGGGCCATATCATTTATCTATTATAGGGGGTTACAAGAATTTTATCCTTTTCATTGATGATATCTCTCGTTTTACTTGGATTTACCTTATGAGGTCCAAGGATGAAGTGCCAACAATTGTGCAAAAATTTCATGAACTTAGTCTTACCTACTTTAACATGTGGATCAAAACATTTTGATCTGATAATGCTAAGGAATATTTTAAGAAGAGCATTTCCTCCTACTTTGATACTTTTGGGGCTATTCATCAGAGCTCTTGTTTCTACACTCTACAAAAAAATGGAGTGGCGGAAAGGAAGAACTGACATGTGGTTGAGGTTGTTGGGAGCCTCCTTTTTACTAAGTTTGTTCCTTTCTTTAGTACTTCTCATGAGGGGGAGCATTCAGAGGAGTTGTTTGCTATGTCACCGATTATTCCTCTTCTGGTTCCTCTTGAGTCTTCTATTGGGTCTCCTCTCATCGAGTCTTCTATTGGGTCTCCTTCACGTGTTCCTACTCCCCTTCCTCCTCCAACTCATCTCCCACATTTGTTTCCCATCCAATTGTCCAAAGGTGGTGCCAAAGACAAAGACACGTGCATGAGCAATTTGTTTCCACACCTTCAATTGAGCCTCTTGCTCCTCCCATCACTACTGAGGTAACAGGTTAGCTCTCCTCCACCACTTTTGATACCTTCTCAGACCTTGATCTCCCTATTATTCCTTTCTTGCCTCTGTTTCTATACATGTGATTCCCAGGTCTGTCCCAGAAGCTTTATCCAAACTAGAATTGAGAGATGTTGTGGTGATTCCCAGGTCTGTCCCAGCCTTATTTCCCCCACCTGAATGAGCAATTCAGGTTAGTAGCCAGAGTTCTCACTTCTCTAACAAAACATCTTAGTAATAAAGGCACTTCTTCCCCCAATGTCATCTAGTTTATCACTATTTAGCAGTCCATTTCCACCTGTATATCTCTCAACCAGTTGCCCAGACTAACTTCAGCACTTTGAAAGGGCCAAAATTCTGCTTTCAAAGAACTTCCAATCCCAACATGCCCAAAAAAGCTAAGAATAACATTTTCTTTATCATCTCTTACCACCCGTCAAAAACATTATGCAATTGGGTTACTTGGGCTGCACCATCAAAGATTAATTTCCTCCCACCTTGGTCCGGAGCCACCCATTCCACCATTTTTTCTTGTCTACTAATAGTGTCACATCAGTCACCATGATAAGCTCAATCAAAACATGTTTATTATTGTTCTTTGTTTTCAAAGATTCTTGCATTAAAGACAAAAGAAATCTTTACAAAATGGATAAATTACACTTTCTTGTATGATATATCTCAACTACATTGATCAGAAAATTATACATGTAAGAGAATATTAAATCACTCCAAGGAAAATAAAACATACAATATGCAACAAAGAACAGAAGCTCCAAAACGTTACCTCAGAATCCATTAATGATTTTTTTATCAATTGAATCCATAAATTGTATTTAAGATGCATCAATTCACAACATAAGAATATCTTCCTTTCTATAATCTGAATAAAAATATAAACTAAGCTTTCCATCCAACTCCAAATGGAGCACCCTTATATGTCAAAGGTGATTATGAAAAGTACCATTCAAGAATAGAGTTCTGGTATCTGGATGAGAAGCCACACACTGCAAAAATAAATAAATATAGATAAAGGAAAAATGAGCAACACAAGCAAAATAGAGAATTCGCAACTATTAAACAACATAAAATAGCTCTGACACCATGTCAACTAACATAAAACAGAATAGGAACTCAAGGAGGAAACAAGAAGAAGGAATAGAGAAACACAAGTTTAACATGGTTCGGCTTGCTAGCATACATCCACGGGAGGAGAGGAAGCATATCCACTACAAGAACAAAAGATACAACTCTTTCTCTCTATCTCCCCCTAATCTCACACAACCACTTGCTTAAAAAAGCAGACCGAAATACATCATAATTACACATAAGCCCCTTTTTCTAACCTAAATACATATAGGTCCTCATAACTTATCAATATAACAAATACAACCAAATACAATATATCTCTCAACAGCAGCAATTTTTTTATCAATAGAGAATTTGCAGAATTCATAAATCCATTTCTAAAATCCTAAGAATTTATTTAAATTGGAAAAGAATTAGTACTAAAGTTACACAAATATCACATAAAAAAGAAACAATTGATCAAATGGTTTCTCACTTGTAAAAGCATCACCACTTATCAAGAAAAAAATAAAAGATATAAGCATTTTTATAAGCAATAAAATATATAAGCATTCATTATCTAACCTCTTTATGGTAATATGGTTATAATGGAGCACTGTAAGAAGATCCTCTCATTGTGCTGTGTTTTTTTTTTTGATAAATGAGTGAAATTTTATTAAACCAGCAAATAAGAGTTACATGCAACCCGTGGAAAGGCACAAGGTGAGACCTTTCCTTTAAAGCTAATTACAGAATCATAAGTACAAAAGAAATTACGAAGCCCAAAATAAAGTATCCCGGGAAACCCCTTGTTTTGCAAGTGAATCAGCCAATGAGTTTGCTGATCTGCCTACCCACTGAACTCTGATTGTCATATTCCTTGTTAACCATTTAACCTTTTTGAGAAGATCTCTAAAACCCCAAATCACAGTGTTTGGATCCTTCAGCCAACCCACTATCACCTGGGAATCCCCTTCAATAATCATATGCTCTATGCCTAGCTGATTTGCAAGCTGGATTCCTTGTACAGCAGCCAGTAATTCGGTCCTTAAAGAGTCTCTTACACCTGCTGGACCTGAGTACAAAGATAACACGTTACTATCTTTGTTTCTCAGCACTCCTCCTATGCCTGAAGGTCCTGGATTTCCTCGGCTACTTCCATTGACGTTCAGCTTGATAAACTCCTCCCCTGGTGGCATCCATTCAACCCCATTCTGTCCTTCCTGGTAGAAGTATTAGCCACTGCTAACCAGCTTCTCCATAGGTCATCAAAAGAGTATGCATCAAAGATCTTTAGAGTTTTCAGCCACTGAATTGCCCTTGTCAAAATACATTCTTTGACTTCCAAGAAGCTCCTTTCTTTATCACAAAAGATTCCGGTGTTCCTTTCTTCCCAAACTGTCCACAACAAAGCTACTCTTATGCACTTCCACATAAGTCTCCCTCTCTCATTGTGCTGTGTTCATGGGACAATTTCAGCTTATCAGGCACCTCCCAATGCACCATGGCCCGAAGCAGTGAGATTCAGATTGAATCCAGGCAAACGGGGAAATTTGATGAGAAGATGAAGGTTTTAATGCAAGTTTGGCTGGAAGGTTTCTTGGATTGGATTTGGAGGAGAAAATGACAGCTTAGGTGGCATTTGAATGGGGTGAAAGAGTCTTCAGAATAAAAAGGCTGAATGGGGACTTGTTTTTGTTCATGTTTCAGTGTAAAAAGGAGGCACAATGGGTTCTACAGTTCAAAGGTAAGATGAGTAGGGGATGCGACTTACAGTAAAGCTGGTGATATCGTGGCTGGTCTTATTCAAGAAGGCCGAAGGAGGAGAGCAACGTGGATTGTGGTTTTGGGAATCCCTTTGCATGCATAGTGCCTATTCTCTTTTAAAGGGACCATGGATTCTAGTGGTAAAAGGTTCTGAAAGTTGACGATAGGAATAGGAGTTGGGAGAAAATAGATTTTAAAAGAATTTTGATGGACGTTGAGGATATTTATGTTAACTTGGAAATTGTGTCCTAGAGGGCAGGCAATTAGTTGAGGCTACCAAAGGGTCGCAAGCGGTTAAAGATGTGCCTAGCTGTGTGAGTGGGGACCATGGTCCAATAAAGAGGCTTAGGAGTGTTTAAAAGTGGTATTCAGTTTAATAAGATAAAGGTTTTCAAAGGTAGAGGTTCCAGGCTTAAGCCATTTAAACATAAAGGAAAAAGAGATACTCTATTCTCAAAAAGGTAAGGAAGAGGAATGGGTTTGGGGTTGCCAAATATGACAGCTATGGAAAGAAGAGTGTGTGCCTGAAGGATGAGATAGTTGGTGTTGGTTCTGAAGTGCATCGATGCTTTGGTATCTACGAGGTTAAGTCTAATCAAAGGGATAGGAGAGATGGGAGATTGGAGAGAGAGAGAGAGGACACTACTTAACCGGCAGGCAGGTAAGTTGATTTGTTTTGGTTCTTTCGTGGTCGAGGTTCCTTCGGAATCGGCTCAGGAGAGAAGGTTGGTTTTGTCTGACCAAGGTTTTAATCAGTTAAGGGGAGAAAGGGAAGGAAAGGAGGCATGCTTGGGGAATGAGAGGAGGAAATTATAAGGGGGGAAGGAAGTGTGAAGGAAGGAGAGGAGGGAGAGGACTTAAAAGAGAGCAAAAACAAGAGTTTGGAAGAGAGCTATTGTTGAGGCTGCGGACAAAAATGTGGACAGTGGTCTTCAAGGAGTTTGTGAGGATTTTCTAAAATTGGAAGGCTTAGAGTTGAGATAGGTCAAAGATAAATTCCGTGAGCAAAGAAGGGGATGATGACATTTCAAAGGTGTTGAAGAAAGTCAAAGATTCAAGTAAGCTCCATATTGTTCATGTTTCTAAAGTTTTTTTTTCAAGATTAAAAGATGGTCTGATTGGTGTTGGCCCCACAAATAAATTTAAGAAGGTTTATAAGAAGAGAGGAACAAAGGTCAAAGGCTCAAAGAAGAGGGTTGTTGAGGTAGTCAATTCCCGAGTTTCAAAGCAGGGGAGACTCAACAGTTGTCTTCTAATGAGAAAGGATTGGAGGCAGGGTCAGGGCCAGAGGAAAAAAAGGACAGTGGTAGAGATTTTGACAAGAATATGATTGAGGCTTAGTCAGTCTGTGTGGAGAAGGGGGAGAAAGTGGAGATTGGCTGAACAAGATGTTAGGATTGGCAGGAGCTTAGGCTTGTTTTTGTCAGAAGGAGACAAATTTGCTAGAAGGGCTTTTGAAACATTTGAAAGGAGCAAGAGGGAAGAGAGTTTGAAGAAGACCACTGTAGGGGGAGTATGGACAGGAGTGAGGTGAGGAATGAGACAAGAAAGATGAAGTGTTTGAAGGAGATGACTAAGTTGCTTTTGGCTGGGGAGGTTTATCTGTTTCTTTGTGTTTTGTGTTTTTGAAGTTTCTCTATTTGGTTGCTGGCGTGGGTGCTATCTTAGCACCCTATTTGTTGTTTGTAATTAGCTCCTTTTTTTCCTTTTTAATAATTTTTTTCTTTTACTTTTCAAAAAAATGGAGCACTGTAAGAAAGGCTATAGGATGGTTAATGGAACACACCTTCAAACTTTTATTCTTGTGAAATTTTCTGTCTTCCTATGGAAGCTCTTAAAATGTCTCTTTGTCTTTGTTTTCCTATCCCACCTTCTGATATTCTTATACCTCAACAAATAAATGCAAAAAGAAAAGGGACTAACAAACTCTTCACTGACCTGAAGAAGAGCAAGTGCATTGCAAACTCGGTTTGATGCAACTGGAGTAAGGGTTGGTGGTGATAAAACAGGATATATGGACACTATTTCCTGCAAATAATGACAAGTTCCAGCACTAATCATCAGTCGCTGAACCAGGTTAGAGTATATACAATTCTTGCTTAGTAATATAACCATTAAGAATAGGAAAATTAATGGAAGCTAGGTGAAAAATTTAAAGAGTGGTCCACAAGACAACAAGATACAAATGCACAAAATAACAACAAACAATAAGAAAAAGATTTATATTGTACTAATACATAAATTACATCTATGAGAGTATTTTAAAAGCATGAAGTGCAATTATTACACAAGGGGTTCCTAGAATTGAGGTACAAGTCACATGGTGCAATGTGCACCAAAACAAAGTAAGGTGCCACTTTTGAGAATATGCAAATCTGAATTCTAAAAGAAATAAAATATTTCAAAAAAGCTCTCTGGCTCAATTGGTTAAAGCATTGTGTTATTGAAATGAAGGTTGTAGACTTGTATGTCAAAGTCCCACATGTGCTAAACTGTTTAGATTTAAAAAGTTACAGGTACAAACTACACTATAGTATCTAATCACCATCAAATTCAAGGTTAATTTATCAGAACATGGTAACAAGTGAATTCATCCCACAAAATAAGCTCTGCTTGTAACCCTAGATAGTCCCATGGTGCACCTTTTAAAAAAATGGCAAGATGTACATAATTTAAACTTTAAAGGAGGTAGAAGAGCACATATGGAACTCCCATGACAACCACAACCCAGAGCATAAAGAATATATAGATAGGATTTTCCCCTTGAGCCTCCTCCCTTCATGCTCTTTCCTCATCCCCTATCTCTTTGCAGCCTATTTCAATTACATAAAATATGGAGGAGAACTATGCCCCCAGATATAAGGATTTTTTGCTTAAAGGGTGTTCATGAGAAAACTAACACTTCTGATACTCTTCAGAAGAGGAGACTGAACTGGTGCCCATCCCCTCACATGTGCATTTTTTGCAATGCATGTGAAGAGACTACTTATCATTTACTAATCTCTTGTTTGTTTGTTTCTAGTATTTGGGAAGAGGAGACTACCTATCACTATCTACTCTTTCTTTCTCTCTTGATGCAGGTCGACACCACCAACAAATATGGCTAGTTTATTCAACCTAGTTACTTTCACAATGCGGAGGAAAAGAGAGAATTATGTGAAAATGCACTAGGGTAGCAGTTCCATTGACTATATTAGAAAAAAGGAATACAAGGATTTTCAACAGACAAATTCTATGGAAGGAGAGGCAGTCATAGAGCATAACAATGAAAGTGATGTGATGCATTGGATAAAGAACATGGATATATGTGTTCTGTATTCCATGGATAACATTTTCAGAGAATGGTGAATGGTGGATAATTCATCAACCACAACATTTGCAACTCAAATGCATAGGATATCACCAAGCAACGACTAAATGGTGTTAAACATTGATGGAAGATGCATTGATAATCCAAGGGCTTTCATAATGGCGGAGTCCTTAGAGATGGCAATTCTATTAATATTATCTATTAAAAAATGGCAGTGCTAGTATAATAGCATTTTACACTAGCTCAATTGATCAAGGAGACTCCCTAAGAACTGAGTTATCAGCAGCACTACAAGGATTGAGGCTATTCAAGTCATTAAACATCATGAAGATATTGGTTAATTTTGGGTTTGGGGAAAGATGGTGTAAATGGATCAAGATGTGTCAGGAATTGTCACTATTCAGTGCTGGTAAATGGGATACAGATCTAAGCAGCACCTTGACTCTTCTAGGTGTCGGTTCGAGTGATTAAGTGTTAATGGGCTTAGTTTAACTCTTATGTTTAAGTTTCTTAGTCTTTTATGGGCCTTTGTTAATGGGCCTAAACCTGTTTTATGTTTTATTTATCTTTATTATGTCTAGGTGTCCCATCACTAATCAGGGGCATTCTAGTCCTTTCATGTATCTTCTTATTGTAAATATTTATATTAGCTTCTAGGGCCGGATGAGACATTATTGCCGCCCATTCTCAGATCTGTTCTCTCCTCTTCTTCCTCTTTTGCAACTGCTCTCCAGCAAACATGGTATCAGAGCTCCATTCGGCCTGACTGGTTACAGCTAGCGTCTCTCATCTTTTTTTCCTTCTTTTCTACTCTCTTTTCATTCTCTTTTTCTGATACTGTGTAGAAACCCTAGGACTGACTGTAGACAACAGCAAGGTCTGTATCAAGGGGTTTCTCTTGGATGTAGGGCCCAAGAGGAGTTTTTTCTCAGAAGCTTATAACCTACTAGTGGTTCTGCAGCAGTGAGTAGCCATTCGGCTGCTAGAGAGATCTGTGTAGAACAGATCTAGCCTGAAGGACTGAGTAGACAGTCCTAGTTGGTTTCTAGGTGCTTAAACAGACCGTAGGAGTGGTCACAGTCCATGTTCGACTTCCAGAAAGGGTGCTTTTTTTCCTTCAGTCCAGAATCTGCTTTCTACTTGGTGGACACAGTCCAGGTTCGACCTCCAGAAGTAGTGTTGTTTCTTCAGTCCAGAATCTGCTCTCAGCCATAAGTGGTGTTGTTTTTCAGCCCATAAGAGCTTCAGTGCAGTCTTAGAGGGTCGTTTTTTGCCTTGCAACAGCTCCGGTATGTGTGAAATCTAGTTTCTTGTGTTGAGGTTTCAGCTGTGATTTCTGTAAGAGAAGGAATATGTCCTCGATATCAGGTGAAGGGTCTTCTAAAGACAATAGGACTAGTGGGAGGTCTTCAAACCTAAAAAACCCAAATCTGCATAGCTTGCAGATAACCAGTGTGTTGTTAGACGAATACAACTTCAGAGAATGGTCTGTTTCAGCCAATCTTTTCATTACTTCCCGGGAACTTATGGGTTATTTAGATGGACAGAAAAAAGAACCTAAAGAGGATGATGCTGAATACTCAGTTTGGTGTAAGGAAAATGCTATTGTTATGTCCTGGCTGCTTGCACCAATGACTCCAAGAGTGGCTAGGACTGTTCAGCACTTCCCTACTACCTCTAAGATTTGGGAGAAAGTGTCTAAAACCTATGGACAGAGAAAAAACAATGCATGAATCTATAGGCTAAACCAAGATATTGTTGCATTGAGACAATGAGATATGTCTGTTGCAACTTATTTTGCAACTCTAGAAGGACTGTGGGAAGAACTTGACCATCATCTTATACTTGATTAGGAAAACATTAGAGATAAGGAGAGGCATGATAAACAAATTGAAGAAGATAGAGCTTTTAAGTTCTTGGCTGGCCTAGACCCGATGTATAAGAGCATAAGATCCCAAATCTTGGGAAGGGATGAAATTCCATATTTACATCATGTCTACTGTCTTGTAAGGAAGGAAGAGGTTAGAAGGAAAGAAATGCAAGTTGACACACAAGTGCAACCTATTGAGCATTCAGCCTTGACTACTTCAACCCAAAAAGGGAGCAAGCATTCAGACAAGAAGCATCATAAGTGCTCCCATTGTGGAGGTGATAGACATTTGAAAGAGACTTGCTGGATTCTCTATCCTCATCTGAAACCAGCTGCATTAAGGAAAGACAAGAAACCTCGGAGGAGTCAAACAGCAAGCAGGAATGTTGTCATAAGCAACAATAGTGAGACCCCAAAGAACACATCTACAGTTGCACCTCCTCCTATGGGACTGACTACTAATTCTCACACATCTAGGTCCTTTGATTTCACTGCTGATGAGGTAAAAGTCCTTAGTCGAGCCATGGCTCGTCTAAGGAACAACACCCTTGCTTCCACCTCTCTTGCCAAATCAGGTACTGTCATTGCTCACAGTGTAACTAGTCCTATAGAGTCTAATTCGTGGATTATTGATTCCAGTGCTATTGACCACAAGACACACATGTCTTCTTTATTTTCTTCTTATCACTTGATGTCTGGCCAAGATAAGATGACAGTTGCTGATGGTTCCCTCTCCACCATCTCTAGGAAAGGGGAGGTTGACCTAAGTAAATATCTCTCTCTTAAATCTCTTCTACATGTTCCCAATCTTGCTTCCAACTTCTTATCTGTTTCTAAGCTTACCAATAATTTAAACTGTAGCATAACTTTCTTTCCTACTCATTTTGTCTTTCAGGACAGATTGACGAAGAGAACGATTGAGAGCGGTCATGAGTCTGAAGGCCTCTATTATTTTGATGCAGATATCAATTCAACCTTACAATCATCTACTGTCAGTGGTCGAGATAATGAGGAGTCAACAGCTAGGTTACATTTGTGGCATGCTAGACTAGGTCATTTACCTTTTTCGTCAATGCAAGGATTGTTTCCTGAGTTGTTCAAGTTTGTTTTGAGTCAAAGTTTAGTTTGCGAAGTGTGTTAGTTGTCAAAACAATGTAGAACTCTTTATTCAGTTTCAATTAATGAAATTCAAGCTTCTTTTGATTTGGTTCATTCTGATGTTTGGGGCCCTTCACCTATTGTTTCTATAGATGGCTTTTGTTACTTCATCAGTTTCATTGATCATTATTCATGGTGCACCTGGATCTACTTGTTAAAAGGACGTGATGAAGTACCACGGATAACCATTGCATTTTGTAAAATGATTGAAACTCAGTTTGGCAAGAAAATTAAGCAATTCTGTTCGGATAATGCTGTTGAATACTTTGAAAGCTCCTTGAATCTGTTCATGGAGGATGCAAGCATGCTGCATCAGTCATCTTGCGCTAGTACCCCTCAAAAGAACGGGTTGTTGAGCGCAAGAACTGATATCTATTGGAGACAGCTCGAGCCTTACTATTTCAGCACAAGGTTCCCAAGTACTATTGATCTCAAGCAGTCCTTACAGCATCGTATATAATAAATCAGATGCCATTTAGGGTGTTGGGTATGAGAACTCCTTTCTTTGTTCTTTGTCTGAACCTTTCAGATTTTGCTCTACCTGCTAGGGTCTTTGGTTGTGTGTGTTTCATTCATGTCAAGGATCCTAAGAAGACTAAGTTGGATCCAAGGGCAGCAAAAAGGGTTTTTCTAGGGTACTCTCCCACACAAAAAGGTTATAAGTGCTATGATCCTATTAACAAGAAAAAATATGTCACCAAGTATGTGGTGCTTTTTGAGTCCCAGTCCTATTTTCATTCTTCCAGGGATCCTCTTCAGGGGGAGACTAATGGGATGGAAGAGTATTCCTCTTCTCCCTCCTTTTTTGTGCCTCTTTCAGTCTCGGGTCTTCCATCTTCTTCCCCCGATCCTCACATTTCTAGCAGCCCAAGTGAATCTATGTGGATGACATGGTGATTACCGAAAATGATCCAAAAGAGATAAGAAGATTGAAGAAGTTCTTGGCATTTGAATTTGATATCAAAGATTTAGGCCATCTGAGATACTTCCTTAGAATCGAGGTTGCAAGGTCACAAGAGGGCATTTATATATGTCAAAGGAAGTATGTCATTGATCTTCTGGAGGAGACAGGTATGATGGGGAGTAAACATGCTGATACTCCAATAGAGCATAATCATTGTCTACAGGAATCGATTGGAGAGGACTACCCTGGTAAAGAAAGATACCAAAAGCTAGTGGGGAAATTGATTTATCTATCTCTTACTCGACCTGGCATTGCTTATGCGGTCCATTTTGTCAGCCAGTTCATGCACTCTCCAAAGATTCCTCATATGAAAGGAGTGGAAAGGATCCTCAAATATTTGAAAACATGCCCGGGAAAAGGAATTTTGTTCAAAAAGCACAATAAAATTGAAATTGAGGCATTTACTAATGCAGATTGGGCTGGTTTTGTTGGAGATAGGAAGTTTATTTTTGGATATTGCACAGTTGTTGAAGGGAATTTAGTTACATGGCGAAGTAAAAAACAGAATGTAGTAGCTAGATCAAGTGCAAAAGCTGAATATTGGGCTATGGCTCATGGTGATGCTGAACTATTGTGGCTTAGGACTCTCCTTGGTGAGCTCGGGATAAAGGTTGAATGTCCTCTCAAGCTGTATTGTGACAACAAGACTGCCATTAACATTGCAAATAACCCAGTGCAACATGATAGGACTAAGCATATTGAGATTGACCGACACTTTGTTAGAGAGAGGATTGTCTCAGGTGAACTTTGCACTTATACTCCTTCAGAGATGCACGTTGCAGATGTCTTGACAAAAGGACTATCTTCAGTGAAGCTCTTAGGCTTAGTTGGCAAGCTAAACATGACTGACATCCATGCTTAGCTTGAGGAGGAGTGTTGGTTCGAGTGGTTAAGTGTTAATGGGCTTAGTTTAACTCTTATGTTTAAGTTTCTTAGTCTTTTATGGGCCTTTGTTAATGGGCCTAAACCTGTTTTATGTTTTATTTATCTTTATTATGTCTAGGTGTCCCATCACTAATCAAGGGCATTCTAGCCCTTTCATGTATCTTCTTATTGTAAATATTTATATTAGCTTCTAGGGCTGGCTGAGACATTATTGTCGCCCATTCTCAGATCTGTTCTCTCCTCTTTTGCAACTGCTCTCCAGCAAACACTAGGTATTCTTGATAATGCGTTCTTAGACCCTACAAAAGAAGATACCAGAATTTGGACTCCCTCCCCCTTGGGCTCATTCTCTTGTGCCTCATTCTTTAAAATCTTAACTCAACCACCCGGTCCCATTGGATTTTCCTTCCATGTTAAAGAGATTTAGTGTAAGCCAATTCCTCCTAAGGTTGGGAAGTTTTGTTGGTAAACTTTCCTAGGTGCATTCACGCATAGGTGCATTCTTTGCACCAATTAGTTAGCCACACATAGGTGCATTCTTTGCAAAGATGATGGGGAGACTGGTTTTCACCTATTAGTTACTTGCCATTTTGCTAAAACTATTTGGGAATGGCTCTTCTCCCTTTCTGGGTGTAGGTGGAATCCCCCATTGAATGTGCAAAGTTTATTTTCTTTCTCCTTCTTTAGGTGGCATTTTAAAGGAGGTGGGATTATGAGGAGATTTAGGGTTGTTGTATGCTAGTCTTTGTGGGAAGAAAGAAACTCAAGAATCTTCTCGGAAAAGGAGAGGAGCATTGAAAATGTAATAGAACTAATCCATATAAGGGTGGCACATTGGTTAAAATCCTTGGAATTATTCACAGAATTTCACTTAGGATGATTTGCTGAGAAATGGGCCTAAGTCCTTCTTGGATCCCTCCCCCCACTAGTTTTGTAAAGCTAAACTTTGATGGCAGTAGTAATGGGAACCCAGGGCAATCTGGCATTGGGGGAGTATTCAGGGGTGAGAATGGGACTGTTTCAGTCATGTTCTCAGGCCCAATTGGTGTATGTGATTCCCTCAGGGCTGAGATTCTTGCGGCCTTGGAAGGAGTCTAAAGGGCAAAAGAAATGAACATAAGGACGCTTGTAATTGAAGGTGATTCGGAGGTGGTAGTAGGGTGATTGAAAGAAGATAAGACTGGTTGTGGAGCTACATCAATGAAAAGAAAAAGAATTCAAGTGGCTTAAGGATATGGAAGTAAAGTACAGTTGGGTGAAGAGATTTGCTAAATCATTTGCTAATTGATTAGCCAAGCAAGGGGTGATTAGGGAATCTCTGTTCTGGGCTCAATTGTAATTCTGCTTTCTTTTCTTTTTGCGGCTTTAGCCTCTGCTAGGGGAGTTAAGATAGTTTATCTCCCCCTCTTTGTACTTATTTTTTCTAATTGATTAATGAAAATTCTTGTTATTGACAAAAAAACATCATGAAGATAGTGATAGAAAGGGATTCAAAAGTTGTGTTAAGCTGGATGTAGCATAAAACTGAGAAGGGAAAAAAAACGTTTTGTTTTCCCTTTTCAGTTTTGGAGAAACAAGCATGTTCAAACAAAACAATATGAAAGAGAAAAGAAAAGGTAATATAAACTGAGAAGGGAAAAAATACTTGAAAACCTCCAAAAACTGGCTTCAACAAGATTTGTTTTAATACAATGGGTAAATGCTATCCACATAATATCTATGGCACAACCAGCATTAGTGAAAGGATATATATTTACCTGTAAGAGTGCAGCAATGGTACCAAAAGAATTCCATAATAATGGTGCTAAATCTTGAAATATTTCCCTCTTCTATAAATTGAAAAAGGAAACTTGTTACTCATCAAGAGAGAGAGAGAGATAACACATTCATAGTTGTTTCACATAAATCCTAGGACTTTTTTTGGTATTTACATTCCCTAAATCTTATGACTTGAAACATCTCCAATGGTACAAAAACATGAAAGAACAATGCTAACAGAATTGACACCAAAAAATATAGCACCCCTAAAAAAATACAGCACCTCTAGTTCTCAAAAGGAGAAACTCTAAATGCAATATTTTGTGCTGAATGACAATGTAAAAGGAATTTCCCGCATGCGTGATTTTGTAATAAGACATATCACGCATCTAGCAGTAAGCACTGGCATCTTGTGATACTAGTGCAGTTCTCTTATCCAATAGAAGCCAATCCTTTTTGTGATTTAATGGCTCAGGGGATATTATTATTGATCTTATCCAACAGATTTTCTTTTAATTTTTTCACCTAGTAACCATCTCATTACCCAATTTTGGCAATATAAGGTCGTTTTATTGCTATAAAACCTAAAAGCAATCGGAAAAACTATCCCAACCAAATTTCCTTATGGCGATTCATGACAATTTGTATGTTAAAAATAAACAAATTTTATCTCGTGAATTTAACAATAAGAAGATAAGATCTGTAGACATATTTTGTTACTTTGTTTGCATTAAGTATATACTAATTGACATGAAATATAAATGTAAACCTTCTATTGCCATAAAATATAGCTTTGTAAATCCTTTATTCAATTTCCCTCGAAGCAACTCGGTCATCATAAAAATTCAAAATAAAATCCCATTCTTGGCAGATAAAAAAAAGGGAATTTCGACAACCGAAAATAAAGGCTGATCCTTTTCTTCTTATATCAAAACAGAGCAAACACTAGTGGATGCAAAAATGAACAAACCCAATAAACGGAGCTTACCTTGGAGAGATCAAGAAGAGCATTTTCTCTGAGATCAGGGTTACTGAGCTCAAGCACCAACTGCTCGGCCGAGGCCATCTTCCGGTCTTTGCTGGCCTGAACAGCGTTTGCGTTAACGGAAGAAGCGCTGGGACCGCCATAAGGAGGGTTGAGCGAAAGTGCTGGGGGAAGATTCGCCATCAGCGGTCGTGTATCGTTTCTGATACTTGTGTTTCTTCTCGGAGCCGGAGGAGGGAGAAAGACGAGAGATGACGATGCTCTTTATTACTTTTTCCTTTTCCTCTTATGCCTCTCATGTTAATACCAAAAAACAAAAAAAAAATTCTTGAAGATGAGGAGTTAGTTAGAACCTAAAACCAGTACCGAGGATCTCTTCCGCCTTCGCTTCCCGAGTCCGGTTTATTATTTCCAAGGGAGGCGCCGAGGCGGAGGCGGGGCCTACGTAGTACGTATGGGAGGACCGGGGAATCAGTTAAAACGTTTAAATGATGTGACCTGCATTTACTGTCATAACAGAGGAAACTTTGGAGTTTGGATAAGTGTGGGGGCCACCTTCCTCTCTCTCCTAGTCCTACGAGAGTATACTGTATACGAGTTACACTTAACACACCCGAAGACTGAAGTGCTGAACGAGTTGGTTCATGAGTCATGACTCGCCCGGCATTTCATTTTCCTTCTATGTTTTTGGGAAGTGGGAGCATGTCTCCCCCATTGCAGATTTGCAGTCGTACATCGGGAATATTCCGCCATAAAGGACAGGGAGACGTTCTTGTTGTTGGACGTTTTGTTGGGATCATGTCCGAACTCCATGTCTTAACTGTTGAATTGGGCTGAATTGAATTGTTTGTTGTATTTTAGTGGAAACAGTGATCATGCAGTGAAATATTTGGGGTAGATAAGAGTTGGATCGGCTACCTACAAGACTCTACAACCGCATATCAGGAACATCTTCTGTATTTGTCGTTCATAGGGAGATGTTTCCCTGTAGTGTCTTCTGGGTATGGCGTGGGTAGTAGATATGATCAAATGAGCTTTCCCAACAATGTCATCGAGCAGTTATAGAGCTCCTATCCTCCTCAATTGCTTGTCCACTAAAAAATAACTAGTAAATAATTCAGTTGTTAATAAATGACTCCTTAATGTATTCTTTTATGTTTTTCATGTTTTACTTAGCAGTTATCAGTTGAGTAAGTATTTTGAATAGGGATTATTCTCACCGGTGTAAATGCTTGCGAATGCAAATTGGCTGTATAGATTCTAGCTTACTTTTGAGTTTTGATTCAGATTTTACCTTGTCTTATTTTGTTTGTGGAAAGTGAATTAGTAAATAAAATGGTGTCGTCCCACCTTATATAAGAGAGAATGAAAGTAGGGGCGGGCCGCGGGACAATATGATATGGTCTCCATTTTATACAAAGAATTGAGATAGGAGGAAGGAAATCTTACATCAGTTTTTGAGATGCAAAACTTGCACCGCTAGTTATGCAAATGAGACAAAAAAGTGCAAATTTTATAGAAGGTAGAAGTGTAAATCATAATTGCCAACAAACATATTCAAAAGTGAATTGGATGCAAATTTTATATGTAGTTCAGATTTGCACTAAAACTAAGGGTGTCAATGGACCGGTTTTGGATTGGACCCTGTCCAGTCCAAAATCAATTTGGACAGATTAGATGGACCAACAAGACATTGGATTAGACCTGGTCCGCCCATAACAAATTTATATTGGATTGGATTGGATTAAGCCAATATCTGGTCCATTGATATAAGATAAGAATATATGTGTCAATGGATTGGGTTTAGGTTGAAACCAATCCAAATCAAAATGAATTTGAACAAACTGAATGGTCCAAACATTAAATTGGACCGGTTCAAATTGGTCCAAGACATTCATTGGATTGGATTGAACCTGGTCCGTTTATAATAGACTCACATTGGACTGGATCGGATTGGACCAAATCCAATCCAATTGACACCCCTAACTACAACCAAACACAATCTAAAAGAGACAAACTAACAAAGGCAACCAAATATTGGGGGTCTCAAAAGCGAGTTCAAATTGGCTCCCCGCAGAGCACACCCCACGTGCCCCATAACACATCTCAAACATCTCCCTATGACAAGTACAAGAAATGTTCCCAASGCATGATCAGGATGTGTTGTGGGCTAGGCTTTGTATAGGGATGTCATCTTTTCCCATTTTCTCGATCCCTATAGGGATCTACCCGAATGGGGATGATTTTCCTCCCGTGAGGACAAGAAGAGCACTCCCTACCCCCCATGAGGCTTCCAATCCCCACCATGTGGGGGACCCTACCTATATATGTACATTAATATATGTATGTATGCATGTATTTAGATTTGTATATGGTGTATGTATACTAATAGTTTTAATAATATGGGTGAATATGTTTGAATGTATTTGGATTTTTTTAAGGGATTATAGCTGATAAGGGCAAATAGGCCCTAATATCAATAAAAGTATTACTTTTAATAAAATTTCAAAAATAGGTTAACTTTTTAAAAGTAATATCAAATAAAGGCAAAAACATTGGTCATCTTCTTCCTCTTGCAAATCATTCATCAGCGCCATCGCCCACTACCGCCTTCGCCTCTACCCAATGTTGCCACATCTGCCCAATGTTGCCACCTCCGCCCACCTCCACCTCTGCCTCTAGAGGTTCTTAGAGTGACGCTGTAGAAGTCCCCAATCAATGATAAGGTCCCAGTATGTGCTTCCCGCAGCTGAAATGGCTGAAGTCATCACCGCCAAGATTTTCCAAATCTCTACCTTTTGCAGGTTGTAAGTCGTTCTCATGATGACGGCCACAATCGTCGGTAGGTACTTGAGCGCATTGTATGCTTGCATTCGGTCATTTTCTTCGTAAAAGCATTGAGAGCACTAATTAAATTTAAATATATAGCTTCAGAATGTCAAGTGTTGCCGCCCGTCAACATTATATTGTGATCGGAAAATATAAGGAAGTTACTGATGATGATTCTGCAAGTTCAACTCCGGCAATGCCTTTACCTACCTCTACTGCCTCCACCTCTACCCAACGCCGCTACCTCCACCTCCACCTCTGCCCAACGCCGCCATTTCGCCCACCTCCACCTCCGTCTCCAGAGGTTCTTAGAGTGATGCTATAGAAGCCCCCAATAAATGACAAGGTCCTAGTATGTGCTTCCCGCAGTTGAAATGGCTAAAGTCGTCACCGCCAGGATTTTCCAAATCTCTACATTTTGTGGGTTGTAAGTCGTTCTCATGATGACGACCACAATCATCGGCAAGTACTTGAGCGCATTGTATGCTTGCATTCGGTCTTTTTCTTCATAAAAGCATTGAGAACACTAATTAAATTTAAATATATAGCTTAAAGTGTCAAGTGTCGTCGCCCGCTGGAATTATATTGTGATCGGAAAATATAAGGAAGCTAATGATGATGATTTTGCAAGTTCAACTAATATATATTGGGATAACAATAACCTACCTGAAAGAAGCGGCACCAGTATGGAATTACGACCACAATGAAATAGAAAGTGTTGTAAACGCCGTTGACGTTGCATTTGTGTTCTCTCTTTTCGTAGTTTCCCCAGCCATAGTAGCAGGTGTACAGCTCTAGGCTTTTGGTTGCTTGGACCTATCAAAATAAGCATAACAACGTACATACCACTCGTTAATTAACCAGCCAACTAGAAGATGTCGCTATAGTACTACTATTTTAGATATCAGACCTGGCTGGTTAGTTAGTCAACCAAGAAAAAATCCGGGAGGGTAACCTATAAGAGAAAAGAAAATTATCAAACACATTCATGAAAAAATCCAAAAGGGTAACCTATAAGAGAAAAGAAAATTATCAAACACATTCATGAATCATTATCAAACACATCATAAAATAATCACAATGACTAGGGATCCCCGTTGGGACAAAGAAGGGGATACCCTTGTCCCTCTGGTCCCCATCCCTGCCAGTGGGGGTGGTGACAAAGATGGGGATAGGGGTTTTTGGAGGGATGGGGATGGGAATGCGGAGTGTCTAAGAAAGTCTGGTTACACATTTTTAAGAAAAACATTTTCTCAAACCATACCTTATAAATAAAAAAAGGTGTGTTATGACATTCTGATTTGGTGTTTTCTCAAATTTTTACTGTTGCTATATGTTGATGTGGCATTGAAAAATGCCTATGTGGTAGCAACAGGCCCAAAACGAAAGAAAAAAAATTATTTTCTGATAAAAATGGCATACCAATGCAACAGTACCATTTTCTCAATAAACACTTTTAAGGAAATGGCATTGGTTCCAAAGATGGCCCTTTGTTTTCATCTACTTAGTATAAACACATCAGCTACCAAATGCAGATATCAGATGTACCAACAGCTTATATGTCTTCACTCGTTGCCTTGAGGTCAACTGCCAGCTTCCCCCCACGGCCCCACCAACTTATATTTACCCATCGGAAAGGAATTCGTCGGGATGGAAATTCCCGACTGAAGTTTAATAGATCGTAGCCGAAACAGAAATCTAATGTAAACAAGTATTAGTGGTTTTTGATATGGCCATTCATTTGATAAATGGTGTCATGTTATCATCAAATCAGCATTTATCCTATCATATATGTTCATTTATAGGCATATGTTTTGATAAAAGTTGATCTTTATTTATGTGCATGCACGCCAACCGTTGGAGGAAGTTTCATTTTAATGCTTCTCCCAACGATTAAGCATTTGTTCACTGTTCCACTTATGTGATACTTAATTATTTAAAAAAACGTTTACCAACCATTTTTTTTAAGACAAATCCAGTACAAACATTTATTTAATAAACCATAACTATGCCAAACATATACATTATTGTTGGGATACTCACAAGTGTTCATATATAAGTATTGTCTTCCTATCAGATGTAAAATGGGAAAGCTGACAAAACCCACGGGGAGAAAGAGAGCTGTATGGGTAGGTATCAACAAGAAACAAAATCATGATTTAATTTTCTGATTAATCAATAGGTTGCCATGAAATTCCTAAACTATATCATAATTGATTTCATTGTCCTTGAGAAATACATGAATAATTTATCAAATATATTGAGTTGTCTTGGAGCTTCAATAATGGGTAGAAATAGTAGGCAATTGCACAAAGTATGAATATTCAGTTCTTTGAAGCCCCCAAAGATAAGTGCACGAACAGTAACGCCAGAGCAGCTGATTTGTATATGGTAGAGGTGGGAATTCCATAGATTCCCTTCCTGAAGAGACCTTTCAAGAATGGCAAGAAAGAAAGCACCACCCATATGCTGCAAATGATCTCTCCTAGCCCATACCCAGCTGACCCATTAATATTGAGCCATGACTGCACCCTTARCAAACCAACTGCAAGTGCAGTCATGTGCACCAACAAAAGGGCCGTGCCGGGCACGAAGATCGGTGACTCGTCGAAGGTAAAAACACCGGCATCGACCTCTGTGTCACTATCGTTGGGGGTATCCTGGTCTTTACGTGTAATTTCAAAGGTGGTCTCTGATAACCCTAAGAGCTTCAAAATGACACCTAATAAACCAAATAGCCATGCAGTTGCAGATATTATCCTCGCCATTCTCTGATTGTTCCACCAAGCACGGATGGTCAGGCCACAGCGGAGGAACTCGGATAGAGTGTAGAGGTTGAAGGTGATAAAAAGAGCAACAGGGAGAAAAAATGCTGCTTCAGAGACCTGCATTCATGTAATAGTTTTCAATGATACGTGTATAGGAATTTCAATTACTCTTGGAGATGTTAGAATCTGTTTGATGATGGCTGAAGTTGTGAAAATGTTTTATTGTTTTTCCTTTTGATAAATAAGGGTCATTTAATAGAACACCTGCTATAGTTTTATAGATTTACTTAAACCCATCCTATAGTTTTTATTTTTATTAAAACACACCCTATAGTTTGTAACCTATTTACTTAATCAATCTTTATACTAAGAGGTGTTTGTTTTGCCATCTAGAAATAGTAACTGAGTGAAAAATGCTCATGTACATGAGCCTATGATTGTTTATTCCAAAATCACCCTTAACACTTCTTCATACAAAAAAAAAAAAACAAAGAGAGTCAAATAGAGTGGTTTCTTGTGTTTTATTAGGGGCAAAATGGTATTTTTATTTTCTTTTAATTAAATTTATTTAATTGGAAATGAGGGTGCAAATTATCATTTTCTATAATCACTTAATGGAAGGTTGATTAAGTAAATTGATTGCAAACTACTACAAGGTAGGTTTTAGTAAATCCCTATAGTGGTGTTTTAGTAAATTACCTAATAAATAAAATAATTATTTAACAAAATATTGTAAGGCATTATAGTCAACCCAACTTCAGCTTAAAGTCTTTAAGCCATTAATTAAGTAGCTTGCAACAACCTAATTAATAAGTAATCCACTGAAAAGCAAAGCAATAAATCATTCAGTCCAGCCATTTCAGCCAGTATCAAATGGCCTCTTCAAGTTATTGTTAGAATGAGACGGGTGGTACCAGAGTGGGTTAGTCCAAAGTCCGATCCATTTTTTAATCTAGATCTTAGGAAATTAGGCTATGTTTGATTTGAAGGAAAAAACAGGAAAAGGAGAAGAAAGACAGGAAACTTATACAAGGTTTGTAAGGATTACCCTATTTTTCCTTTTTTTTTTCTACCTTTTCCTTCAAACCAAACATAGAATTAGTGTAAAGTTGAAATGAGATGGTTGATTGGTTGAGTAGTATATAAATTTGAGACAGTAAGTAAAAGAGCTATATATATGTATACCGTGGGCAGGAATTGTTTGTTGGCGAAGATAGCATAGGAGGGCAGAAGTGCGTAGCATAGCTCAGGGACAGAGCGAATAGACCACACGTTTAAGTAGAGATAGGCTAGACGTTGCCGAAACATGAGTCTTGTCGTTCTGAAGGGGAGAATGGGACTATAGTTGTTGAAGAGAACCTCGAAAAGACCGGTGGCCCATCTCTTCTGCTGAGTCATGCATGCGGGCCCACCGGAAGGTGCGCTGCCCAGGAATGCGGGTGGGTCCGGCGTCATGTAGACGGAGTTCCAACCCTTTGAATGGATTTTGAGTCCAGTGAGGACGTCTTCAGTTGTGGAACCGTATACCCAACCTACCTGCATAAAACAAAACAAAACAAAAGAGAGGACTACCACCGTTCACATTAATTTTCATACTGTCTAGTGTCTAGTGAGGATGTCTTTGGCGTGCCGTTGGTTCACCTTTGTGCCCCAGTAGGTGTCACGCTCATAGCCGCAACTAGCAACTTGAATTGCTGCCTCAAGTGTGGTCGAATCATCGAGTGCTGGAGGATCATCCATCTTTTCTTTGACCCCCGCCAGTATCTCAGATGCCGACTTCATGAATTCCACTGAATTCCCAAAGTTTGCCTTGAGTGATTTCTCTACCAAAACGATCGAAATGTCCAAATAATGACACAAAAGAAAATGGTTTTCATAGATGAAAACGGGATGGGAGGGCTTCTTTTCTACCATTCAATAATAGACGACTAAGCTTTCTTCCTAGGTTAATGTCTGCTTCATCCGGTGATAGTCCATATATTACTTTTCTTCTATGAAAGCATCCTGTTCCAGCATAGAGTGGTCCTTGGATTCCTGCTATTCCACGCCCAGCAAACTGCATGCATGCATGCATGCATGTCACAAGCATATATAACAATGTACGTATTTAGAGCAATTTCCAGCGATAGATCAATTAAGTAATGAGAAATTAACAAATGCGTTTTCAGCTGAGCTTGTTGTTATGTTAGTTCAGGTAATTAGGAAGGTTGAAGTTGAAATTTAGTTACTCACTTCTTGTAAGACTACGAGTTGATTTCCAAATGGGTCATCCTTTAAGGTACCATAGAACGCCTGCGGAAACTGAACGTATGCACTTTCTTTTTCTTGTTGGAAACCGAACAGTAGGCAGACTGCATGAAGAACAGTCTGGGGGTCGTTGGCGAACATGTCACAGTCGACGTTCAGCATGAAAGGGGAGTTCGTCATGACTCCCGATACTCTAGTCTGCTCATATATATGTAAGTAAGATGGCTAAAGAAACCCATATCCGAAAGAATTATTTATGCACCTCGATCAGGAATTCAGGATCATCCTAGCTAGATTTCTAGCAATTAAGGATTAATCAAGCTCTGTTTCTTAAAATCCAAATTATTGGGCAACAAATATAAAACCAAAACAATTCACCAGATGAATAAATTTCTTATTAATTTTATGTTTAAACGTGCGTCAAGGTCCTTTGGCTATTCATCTTGAGAGGGAGATCCAACTTATTTCATCTTACCAATACATTCATAGCTCCTGCTTTGTTGTGATGAGGATGCTTTGGCCGCTTCTCTCTGGATACATAAACGAGATGTGGTAACCCATCCGGAAGATTTCCCTTATTCTCCCATATAACCTATAAACGATCTACCAGGTAAGGGCCACCTATATATATATCTCAAGAATATATAATTTACTACAGAATTTGATGACCACAGGAGAACATACATAAAAAGATTTACCTTCACTATGCTTGGATGGTTTCTGCGATCTATTTTAGAGAAAGCTGCAAATTCCCCTGCTAGATCGCATGGAATGGGGCTTTCAACTACCTCTTCAATTCTTTGCTTAAGTTGTTCATATTCAATCTACACATGTGAAGATAAAAACCACGTTAATTTGTTCTCTTAACAGACAGCCTTTTTTTTTCCTTTTGCTTATCCCATTTGACCCCTTTATACACCGTTTGCTGAAATTAAAGATGCAAGTGCAACATCATTAGCCAGGTTTGCCAAAAACCTGAAAGCGTTTCGGATTTGATTGAAAATCGGGTTAATGGATCAAAGTTAGAAAAGTATAAACCTGCAGATTTTGGAGCAATGGATCTCCTGCACACAAGAACTCTACCCACACCTACGCCCACTAGGCACCACAGCCATGTGTGGCAGAAATGTCTTGTGGTTATAATTCTTGACCCGAGAGAGATTTTTGACCCAACCCAAACTTTTTTTTTTGATAAAAGTATAAAACCCAACCCAACCCGACCTAAAATGGTTCCATTAGAACCTTGATTGAAAGATTACTGTTAGCACTTAGCAGTATCCATGAAGATCACGCAACCTCAGTCGACTCAAAAGGATAATAATCATCCTTTAAAATAAAATAAAATAAATCAAATAAAAACAGAATCCACAAAAAAAAAAAAAAAACTTAATCGAAACATTCATGGTGCTGCTGTGTGAAGTGGTGATACACACATACCTTCATCCTCTTCCAGTCGCCCCCGAAATCTGATGAAAGATCAACCGGTGATGCCTCAGGCTTGCCGGAAAAATATACAGAAGGGGCTCGTACTCGAATGTCATACTTCTTACAGAAAGGAACCCAGAGCTTGGCAAACTTAGATGCTTCAACGAGAGCAAAGAAGGTGAGTGGAGACGCACCATCATCCGAGATATAGCAGGCAAGCTTGTTAGCTGGGTAATCGAGAGCCAACAAGGAGAGTACAGTGTTTACAGTGATGATAGGCGGTTCGAGCACAGGATCTGCTGTTGTAACAAAAATATCTACCGGAGGAAGAAGCTCAACGCCCCTATTGAGGCATGACATAGATATTAGTTCGTTGCAGCAAGAAGAGTGGCTTAGCTTTAGCTCTCAGGTCTCAGCCAAAGCAAAAACATAACATACTACTAAGTTCTAAGTACTAACCTGCTCCTGCCTGCACACTTTAGTAATGATGAAATGATAAATATAAATGAAATTATTGAAATATTACTTAGTACCTTTGTAAGAGGCGCTCAGGATAAGTTCTGTATTCGAATTGATTCCATTTGATGTTCATATTAAGGACCCAGATGAAGGTAAACCAAGACTCACAGAGGAAAGCAAGAAGCCAAGGGACTCCATGGTTTCTGAGCGTTAGAAACCGATATAGGAGGAGGGAAAGCAAGAGTAAGAAGATGATGAGATCTTTGACTCTCTGCAGAATGTTCTTGCGAGGGATTCTCTGTTGGAGGGGAAGAGAGATGGGATTGGCCATGACCGTAAAAGAGAGTAGCTAACTCTTGGCTGACCTCATTATTTGGGCTTCTGTGTGTGGTACTCTTATAATGCCAGTTAGTATGCAGAAATTTGGAAAAACCATGATATTGAGATTTGAGACCGCACGTCCGTCATCATGTATTGTGTTGGTAAAGCATCGTCATCACTACTGGGTCCCACCGCGTGCCATGAAGGTTCCTCGCGAGGCTTTGTTAAAAGAATAGGTGTAATTGTGTAAATCGGGGCGTGCCGGGGGCCGTATCAGGTACGGCACGATTATGTGCGACATGCTGTGTTGGGGGTTTTAGGTCCGTGGGTTAGTATGGTACGATACAGTGGGTGGAACCTATATATATATAATAAATAATTGTTTTTAATTTTGTTATATATATTATTTTATTTAATTATTGTATATATAAATAATTCTATACATAGCTTTGGCCCGGTTCATGCCCAGGCCTAATTCAAGGCTCAACCCACATACTAGTCTAGCCCATGGCACAGGCCCATGCGGGTTCAAGCCATTGGTCGTGCTAGGCTGACCCTCCAAAATATCCCAGGGGAGGGACAACCCGTTTTATATCTCTAGGCAAAAGTAGCCAAATACTCGGGTGGACCTAACCCGATCACAATCTAGCTCAACCAAAGTTTTTACACAGGTTGGACTTGAGTTTTTAAAATTCAAGTTTGGTTTAGGTCAAATAAACAATCTTAACTTAAACAAAGGTTGGGCTTGGATTGAGCCTGTTCAACATTTTATGATATAATACATATTTACATGTTATCAATCTATTCTACCTAGAAATTGGGCTATACAGATCAACACGTTCAAGCCCAAGCCTAGCCTGAAATGTTGGATTAAGCTCGGGTTAGGCCTAAATTGGTAAGCTTGGGGCTAACCTTGAATCAGGCCAAGCCTGAACTTGAGGTTTGAAACTTAGGGTTGGGTTTGGGTTAATCTTTAACCTGACCCAACCCACCCAAGATACATCCCTAAGGAGCATTGTAACATTCTTAATTGTATTAGTTTTTATTTTTTATAAATTGTTTTAGTTTTTATTATATTTTAATTTAGTATTTATTTTTGTTACTTTTAAAGGGGTTAGGGGATTTTAAATTTATAATAATTAAGTTTAAAACTAATAATATTGTTAACTTTTTAATTTTATCAACAAATTTTTAGTATCGTTTTATTCTTAATGAATTTCAAATGGATATCAAATTACAAGATTTAATTTTGAAACTAAAATTTTCTTACTTTTTTGTTGTTTTGTTAATAAACATGTATTAATTTGTAATAATTTATTTTTAAACAAAAACTTGTATTGATAAACAAATTATTAAAATATTTTTTGTTAATTTATATTATTTTTTATCTACAATTTTTATTACATTATTAACTTAATTAGTTAACTAATTTATTATGTTAATTAATTAGTTAACTAATTTATTATGTTAATTAATTAGTTAACAAATTAAATATGCTTTAGTAATTAAGTTATAATTAGTTAATTAATTATATAATTATTATGATTTAATTAATATTTTTAATTATATAATCATTTTCTAAGTTAACTAAATTTGTTAATTTAATTAATGTAAATAAAAAACTTAATTTTAAATTTCCTACTTTAATTAATAAAAATAAGTTAACTAAATAAAAGTAATTGACTAAATAACCATGTACACGTTAGGCATATATAAAGTTAACAAATTAATTAATCTTAGATAATTAATTTAATTTAATTCAATTGACGTAATGACTTTTAGCAAGTCAATGCAATAAATTGAATTAAAACTTAATTATTTTTGCAATGAACTAATTGAAGAATTATGTGATTAAAGGCTTAATTATGTTATCATTAATTAACTAAGTAGTTTAATACTTTGAAAATTGTCAAAAAGGCCACTTGAATGGGTACCGTAGGAAAAAATGACTTTTAGCGCAGTCAAGATTGCGGCTAAAGGTCCCCAAAACTGCCGCTAGAAGCTTTATTGGCAGTTAAAAAATGCCGTTAAAACAGGTGCCCCTAGTAGATCTAACGTCAGTTTTTGCATTGTCGGTAAAAAAAATTGCCGCTAAAATTAGGGGGCATTTAGCGGTAGTCGTAAACTTCCACTAAAGACCAACTTCCAAGTGACAATTTTATCTTTAAGTAGTCCCGGTAAAGGGATGAATCGACTGCCGCTATATAAGTTTGGTGCGCTTTTCTTGGCATATTTTGTTTAACCACAGTCATGACTACCACAAATTCTCTTTGATTTTTTGCAAAGGTTATATATAGTGGTAGCTGTGATTGCCGCTAATTCTATATTTTTTTCATATAACCTATAATTATTTTCAATTATTTCTAATTTGCTTCAAATAACTTGTTTTCTCTACATTTATCTAAATTGAAATGAAATACAAAAATTAAAACATCAATTAGAAATAAAATTTAAAAGTTCATTCTACATTCAAAACATTTGAATCACAAATATATCTTAGTTTCAAATTGATAAACCCTTTAATACAAATTCCATCATCAATTCTCAAAATTCAAAATACTTGATTTACAAAAACTTCTCCCAAAATCCAAGGAAGATGAATACCTGCACAAAAGATGAAAACAATAATAAATAAATTTACATAGAAAACCATAAAAAAGCTATCAAAGTTAACAATAAAAGGGCATAAATAAGCTATCAAAGCACATGTTTAAGTAAAATGGTAAAGATTTAAAAGTCAAACATTTGCCAATACCCAAATAACAAGATGATAAATTGTTCAGAGTTCAATGCCTCCAACAAGTATAGTATAAAGACCTGAATAAGGAACGAAAAAGAATTACACTTCAGATTTTACAAGGAGATATAGAATAAAAAAGCAATAGAATATTATTAAAATACCACTATTTGACCAAAAGATACTACAAAGATATTTGTACATGAATGGGTATTTAATTAAAAACTTAAATGTAGCAAAAAGTATAAGATATAAGTTGCTAGAGACAGCAAATTAAGCATCACAAATGTAAATAAAAACAGAAATAAATCAACATTTATATGTAAATAACAAAAGAAAAAAGATACCAAGAAACAGTTGATAAAAACCAAGGTTAAATTCATGGTCATCTGCCATGATAACGTCAGGTGAAGTATGAAACATGAGAATCCATGCTCCATTATGAAATAATGATTCAAAGATTACATTACACACAATATTATCTTAATTATTTTATAAAAATGTATTAAGTAGAACTGTTTCATAAACGTTGATACATATATAGTTGTCTTCGTGGATGTTGCTCTTGCAGCAGCCATGGCTTATTGATTTCCTCCTTTCCCTCACCCACTCTTTAGTTAGGCTTTTAGATCTGATTGATTTTCAACATTTTTGCCTGAATTCTATCGAGTGCTCTCTAATCTCTTCCAAATAGTTGGCAACACTTACCACTTTACTACAAACCAAGGTTTTAAAAATCAATTTGGACAATGAACCGGTCAAGGGTCCAGTTCATGAGTCGAATGGTCGATCCGTTTTGATAAAAAAATAAAAAATAAAAAATGGTCAAAATTATTGAATGATTCAAACGGTTCAACCGCTCGGGGTCAATGATTTGTTGACCAAATCAATATTTTTGACAAAAATCCAGTTTTAGAGAAAAACGGAACCGATCACTTTATCGGTTCTCAGTTTTTCAGATCCGACTGTCCAGTTCAATCCAATTTTGAAAACCATGCTACAAACACAAACTTGGGTTTCCAAAAATGAAAATATCCCGTGGAGAGCCATATTACCCTATTTTTTTTTTTTAGAAACAAGCCTGAAAATTTGCCATCATAGGCACATTTTACCCTAATTGAGTTACACAAGGAGCAAGAAAGCTACACCAACCAAAATAAGCACACTTTGGAACGGTGGTCCTATCTCCTAACATAGCCAATTCAATTGCTGCTCTTTCTTTTTTCTAAATTTCATTTTTCTGTGGTGAGTGTTGATCCTCACCACACCTCTCGAGATGAGTCTCGTTTAGCAGTTTTTTTCACTTTTTTTTATGTAAATATTGCACATTTGCACTCAACTACCCCCTATATAAGTTGGGTGAAAGGGAAGGAAGGAGGGCTATTCTATTTGTTGTTTTCTGTTTACGGGTGGGAGAGTTTGATTGATGTGGATTGAAATTTGAGCTAGTTTCAATTCCGGATTTTCTTTGCCTTCTCCTGCTGTTTGTTAGTTTACAATTGATTATTTTCCTTCTCCGTCCAACATGTAATAAAAGAAAAAAAGATTTTGGAACAGAGGGAGAGAAGAATTCTTACTGTATTGTGGGGAGTTGAATAACTGGCCTGCTTGCGTGATTATTGATGTAATGCAATCCGGTTGTTCCCTCTAAGAGATGATTTGGCTTTCAGTAACGACGGGCTAGATGGACCTGCAAGAGATGAATCAGAGAACCCAGGGTTGTTTATTCAGTGGGGTCGCTCCAATGCTTAATTTAGCACTTACTTGCGAGCTTGAAGATGATAATAGATTGTGAGAGAGCTAGAGAACAAAGATCACGCATACCTTTGCCCCTGGGGGGGTGAGGTCTTTATATACTAGATTCCTCGCGGGTTTGGTGGAGTAGTTCCTGGATCCCCGCTGTGACGGGATCTGTTTTCGTGTTAGTTGGGGATAATGCCACCAACCGGTAAGGTTTCCCATTTCCGCCTGAATCGGGGAGTGGGTGAGCTAATATAGCCATTACAAGGTACGATCCCGTAAGACGCGGGGTACGATGGTGAGATCCTTGGAATTACCACGCAACGGTCGGTCTGACTGGGAAGCGAGCTGTCTATAAGGTGCCAGGCTGCACGGTGGCGAGCTGCCTAGTGGAGACATGCCCGTAAGGTGCTAGGCTGCATGGTGGAGAGCTGCCTAGTGGCGAGCTACTTATGAGGTGCCGAGCTGCTTGGTGGCGAGCTACCTGTGAAGTGTCGAGCTGCTTGGTGGCGAACTGCCTAGTGGCGAGCTGCCTGTGAAGTGCTGGGCTGCTTGGTGGCGAGCTGCCTGTGAGGTGCTGGGCTGCTTGGTGGCGAGCTGCCTGTGAGGT